GGGGGGGGGTGTGCTGAGTAGGCGGTCAAGTCCACCTTCCCTTATCGGCTGGTCTTTTGTCTGAACCGTTGGTCCCCGCGCTGCAAACTACTCAATAGGAAAAAAATGAACCTCTGACAGTATTCGAACCGACAACCATTCGCGTCCCGAGCGCGCGCTCTACCAACTGAGCCAATGATGAGGGTTTTGCTTAGGTGAAGCTTATCTCCGCTTTGGCTCTCACCCCGAAACATATGGCTGGCAGAGGGAAAAGGGTTCCGTCGACTAGGTTCGAACAAGCGACTGTTTGCGTACCAGCCCATCACATCAGGTGTCGCACGGCTGTAAAGTCATGGCCAGCGGAGCGCGAAAATTATCACCCGGCCGAGATTCGAACCAGCAACCAGGTTCATACCGGGCCCGGACGCTACCGACTTGGCCACGACGGAACGATACAGAGCACTACTTTCAGCGGCATCTTGATATAAGCTGTGATCGACGCCCGAAGGCACTTGGCCAGCAGCGCAGGGAAAAATGACCGCTGATGGGATTCGAACTAGCGACCACTCGCACGATCTGCCAACGATCACGCTTGAACACGCTCGGCTACCAGCTTGCACCTACGCGACCGAGGTCTGAGATCGGTCCTGCCTAACGGGAGACAAAAAGCGACAAAGAAAAAAATTTGCCCCGCCCGGGAGTTGATCTTAGGGCCGACAATTTTGGTTCGGATGAAGCTGCATGCGGTCATGTCGACTGTCTGTGGCTACAACTGTTTAACTGCAAAAGGGGCGTGGGGCTAGTGGCGGCGGACATCGTATGTTGCCCCATTTGTGACATTTTTGTGTCCATAAACAGGGACGTGTCTACCACCACTTGTAGCCGCGACACGAGTTGTCGCTTGGACCCCTGCGAGGTAGGCCACGGCTTCTCTCTACTGTGTCTGTAGTGGTTGGGACTTAGGGTGAGGCTCCTTTTAACCCCAGGCTCATAAATTCTCTCTAAAGCTAAGAAGTGACGCCGTGTTAATCTAGGCGTGGGTCGATGACTGTCGCTGAAAACGCCTGGAGGGTAGGCAATGCTTTTCTGAATCGGACCCCCGCGGCCCCCTGTCCCTCCGAGCGCTTGGACAAGGCGATAGCTTCGGAGAGGCATTGATATCTTTCGTTTTCGTTTCGTTTTAGTTCTTAGCGGAGTTTACTTCTGGTTGATATTCTAGCATTGGCGGAAGTAATGAATCCGTCTATAGACGATTCGGTTTAAGCTGACTCGGGCTGTCGGCTGTAGCTACAGGGAAGTCCAGCACTCGGGAATCCCAGAGAAGAGTTGTGGCCGAGGGTTCTTTTTCTTTTCTTCCGGGTTGGGGGAGAGGGGCGTGAGCATTTACATCGATGAGCGGACTACTTACTTTAATAGTTGGTTCTGATGATAAAGCTGCATATGGTCGTGTCGATTTTGTAGCTACAAACAGAGACATCTTGGCGACAACTTTAAATCGTACGCCGCTTGCGATACTCGGGATAGGCAACCCCTCCATACACACACGCACTTAAGGCAAGATGTTGCCTACCTACCAGGCGCTATGAGACATTGCATTGGCTGATCTTGTCAATTTCGTAACGGCATATTGCGGCCGCGCGTTTTGGATGAACTCTCGTAATTTGCTGAAATGATCGCATGGATCTGAGAGATGTAGTGTTTGTAGAGAACTTGCGACTTGTACTTCTTGTGAGGGCCGAAGGGACGAGCGCTATGCCGCGCACGTCCAGTACACACTGTCTCCATCTCAAAATCAACATTAAAAAAATATTCTACAGTAGTAACGCGATGTAAAGTTCTTTATTGTATAACAAGAGTCCAAATAGTCACATGTCAGATATAGGTGCAGGAGAAATTCACACGAATACAGCAAAACTATACAAAACAAAAGTGATGGGGAAGTCAGAGTTAGCATAAGATTCTGTACATAAGGAATACTAGTACACATGTTTATTCTCTACATAACTTTTATTCCTTTTTTTTAAAAAAAGGTAAAAGAAAATTGTTTCTTACCTAACACATGTAGCAATGTAAAGAGAAGAACTCACATTTTTCTTTAGCAGACAAGAAATTAGTGCTAATGAGAGCAGAGATCTTTGGTATTGCAAAACAGGGTCAAACATAAGTAGTCAAATCCGCGAGTTTGGAAATATCACAAATCACAAGAAGGTTTTCCACACAATTGTCGTGAGGACACAACACATTGTCACTCCGTGCTTTCTTGTCATACATTCGCCGTACCTTAACACAGACCATATGTACAGAACGAATGATTCTTAAAATAACAGAGCCAATACAACTATATTGGAACAGGTACGAAAGACATTTTATACTTTTAGATACTTAGAGTTGGAGTCGGTAAGTTACTAAATGTTCACATTTGTTGCATTTAAATAAATATCATTACAATTACCAACAACGTTTACGAAGTGACTAATCTTTGCAAACACAAAAACATAGATGACAGACTACATAAGAAGAAAAGGCGTTTTTGTAAATTGTGCACACTGCACAAATTTATGGGGAAAATTTGTACTCCTGTTGTTAAAACACACACAGACAAAATGAGGATGTAATGATGAGCTAATAGATTAGTGATATGTCTACTTTAAGAGGCATTATTGGCCCGAATTACAGCTCAGATAATTAGATTTAATCAATATGTTACACGCTTCACAATGATCTGTGGAATACCTGCAGAGAAATTTTAGACATGACACACAGTATTCCTCTTTTCATTTAATTCACATATGTAAGCTCAAAGATCATGTGGTGTAACTAAACATAGAGGAGCTGTGAGAGAAATGTGTATGCACTGGAACATTACAACTACTGAATAGATTCCACTATAAAAATACAATGTATAAACTGGTTCGTATAAAATAACTATAGAAGAAGCTTTTAGCGAACACAAATCGCGGAAGATGGGATGATTTTAGGTCATTCCAAGACAAAGGGCCGTAGGGACTTAGGACAGAAACAAAACACACACTTAAACATGAAACAGTTGTCTTACTATAGAGAAGACATATCAATAAGTTAAAATCCCAACATCAGAATATCTTATCTATCAGGCCCTCAGGATACAGAACAATTCCCCAAAAACCCTCAAATTATGCAGCTCTCAAATTTTAAAACAAATATATCGAGTGGTAAGATATGTCCTATTTGATGAAACCAACATAAATGCTGCTATTCTGAGGACTATTACTTCTGCACTTGTAGATGTTAGAATATTGCAGTAACTGTAAAATTATGATGTAATCAGCTTGCGGCTACCATACAGGTAATGGAGGGAGCTATAAACTTACATTACAGAACTTTTGTAAGGATTTGTTTGTATTCCTTCAGTCTCATCAAACAATCACTCAAACTGATTTTACTAGAAAGATCATAATACTTAAAGTACGGTAACTTATTTTTAAGTGAAAGAGTAAGGGAACCTCCAAGAGCAAAACTTGTTGATTTGAAAAACAACTGCGTAGGTTCTAAAAGAGGGTTTATCTTTGAAAACAACCCTCACTCGTGTGTGGCAAGAACTCACACACACCAGTTGCTCTGAATGAACCTTCTCTCAGTTACGAACCCAGATCTTCCTCATGCCAGGAAAAGCATTCTGCATTAATTTGGTATCACATTCTGTTCCACTCTTACCTTAGCAGTCTCAATCTCAAACTGGGGCAAGAAGAAATGAAGCAAAAAAAAAAAAAAAAGAAGAAAAAATTGAACACAGACCAGAGTGCAAAGACATTATAGAATGGTAGTTTCCCCAAGTTATTTCAGAATTTAGAATTTAGAAATGATGTAGGCAGACTAATCAGCAGGCTAATCTACTCCTCACCAAAACTTTCCCTATTCTCCTCGAACACGGGGAGCAAACATAGAAAGCCAAGGCTAACATATCAAGATTTGTATGCTACCCAGAGATAGGAAACCCAAAGTAAAGGGAGTAATTTTATTAAATAGTTTTAATTCTTTTGGCAAGCAGGCTTTTCTTTCAAGGGTAGATTCAGCAGCCACTAATATCTCATCTTCTTTTTTCTAGATATAAAATTTGAGTGGAGAGTTTGTTTAAGATTAAAATTGTTTTGAGAGACATTCAATGTTGCCTTACAGGAGGCTGCCTTGTGCTGTAAGCTGTTGCTTGGGGGGAGAGTTTCCTAACAATTATTGATACTACCGAAGTATATAGTCCAGGATTCTATAAAACATGAGGGGACATATATATGTAAATTGGAGTATTGAGTATTCAATATTAATCACTATAGAATTCTACACTGTTCGGAAATACCCATTATCATGCCAAAAAAAAAAGTGTTTAGAAAATCTGGAAATGAGACTTTACAAGGGCCTCTAGGTCAGTAATGATACAGAACTTGTTTATAAAATAAAAAAAATGCACTGTACCTAGGCACCTACAGAGTTTGCAACTACTCAGAACAGGAATACAATTATCAATTGGTTTCTTCCATTACAATTAAAATGATAATTTCCCACAAACTGGGTGCAGAGACAGGTGTGGGTGTCGGCTCACAGCAAATCCAAACCCTACAATATATGTTGTTTTTGTGCGATGTAAACGATCTGTATCACTGAACTTTAAGGTACAAAGTAAATAAACTTACCACCTCTGACTGTATAAAAAATAAACTTGCACACCCACCCCTGCCCCCTCCCTGCTCGGAAGCCGACCTGCTCCATCCCTTGAACGCCGCCACTACATCACACTACGACATGGAAGGCTGCATTCTCGAAGAGTCCGCCTATTCGAATAAAATACCAGTTGATGTGGTCGGGTCAGAATGCTTAAGAGGTAATGTAAACACGAGAGTCTTTACGGGCTGCGCACCTAGCTGCGCACCTAGCTGCGGCCTAGAAGGGCAGGCTCGCCACGAACATGTTCTCGATGAGCGGCGGCGCGGGCACAAGGTCCTCCAGCTTGAGGTAGAAGATGCGCTGCAGGCCCTGCACGCTCAGGGACCGGAGCTCGGGCAGCTTGCCCAGCAGCCGCGACAGGTAGTGGTCCTTCTTCTGGGCCTCCGCGTTGTACGTCACGTGGTCCTTGAGCGAGCTGATGATCTTCATCTGCAGCTGCTCCACCTTGTGGGGCTCCTTGAGGCCGTGGCGCTCTGCGGACGAGAGAGCGAGCACGAGTGAGTACGGGAGAGTTAGCGAGCAAGAGAGAGAACGAACATGATAGAGCGAGTGGGGAAGGATGAGGGAGCGAGCAAGAGTGAGTGAGCGCCGTGCAGGATAGACAGCCCAACGGGCGCGCGCGCCGCGGCCGCGGCCTCTAGCGCCTACCTGTGATGAGGGTGAGCGCGCACAGGCAGGCGAAGGCGGATATGTCCACCTCCATGTTGTGCAGCGACTGGCAGAAGTCCAGGATGGCGAGCAGCCAGTCGCCGAAGCTCCGGTGGCACTGCTGCTTGTCCAGGACCACGCCGTTGCAGAACGTGAGCTTGGTGTCCTCGGCCCGCGTCCTGCACGCATGAAGGAAACAACGATGGGTCAGCGAACTTTTGTTCTCAGGCAGAAGGAGACGATATATTCCCCGAGAATGATTGGGGTCGCCGCCTTACCTATACGCTAGCCGCAGCACGAACAGCTCCAGGGAGGCCGATTGGAAGAGGAGGTCTTGGTCATCCCGGCAAAGGTCGCCGAAGCCGGGTATCTTGTCGGCAAAGTGCCGGATGACGTCGACGGAGGTGGTGAGGAGGCGGTAGAACTGCTGGATCTTCTCGGCCTCGGAGACGAGCTCGTCCGTGGGGCTGGGCCCGGGGCTCTGGTACTGGAAGCCAGAGGACACCTGAGACCACGGGGATAGTCTAGCGCGCCCCGAGGCGGGGCTGGACGCGAGCGGGGGGCGGGGGCGGAGGGGCGGCGAGGCCCGCAGTACCTGAGAGTAGTCCAGGTTGGCGAGGTCCGGCGTCGTGTCCACGTGCGCGCGCACCAGGGCCGTGATGAGCGACACCGGCGGGCTGGGCGGCGACTCCTGGGGGGACTTGGGCTTGGACGGCAGCCGGCCACGCCGGCCCTTGAGGGAGTCCGTCCGCACGACCTGCGGGAAACAAGCGAGGTGCTCGTCAGACACTCAGACACACACAGCGGAACACGTTCAAATATCATCAGCGCAGAAATAATCTAGGTTCAGTCGTTTTCTGTTTTTCTTTTGTCAAATTGTGCGGAATATAAATTAACTACTAATCCCCGGCAATCCGCGGTATGACAGCAACTGTTGCATAAAAGGGGCGTTACGAGCGTGTGCGGCAACATCCTCATTGCTGACAAAGGGCT